CATTACAGATGGTTGTGAGCCACCATGTGGTTGCTGGGAATTGAACTCAGGACCTCTGGAAGTGCAGTCAGTGCTCTTAACCACTGAGTCATCTCTCCAGCCCTGTACTTATTTTTAAATGTTTAAATAACATTTATTTTATGTGAATGAGTGTTTTGTCCACATGCATGTCTGTGCACCATATGTGTGCTTTGGTACCAGGGAGGCCAGTTGAGGGTGTCATGTCCCCTGGAAATGCAGTTACAGGCAGCAAGATCACTGTTAACCACTGAGCAATCCCTTCAGACCCTTCATCAGAGTCAGTGGCCCACATCTGAGTTGCTGTAGGTCAGTAGAAGCAGTTGGGGGCAGCATCGGGCTCTTTCTGGCTTACATTTTGGCAGAAGCAGCAGCATGTGACCAGGCTGCGTTTAGCCCCTCTTGAGTTCCTGGCCAGATTCTCTAATGAGCTATTTGGACCAGGTATCTACCAGGTGTTTCCCATGCACCCAATATGGAGTAAGTCCTTGCAGCTGGGCCCTGGAGGTAACATGGCTCTCCAGGGTGACAAGCTTAAGCTGCAAATCCTCTGGTAGGGTTAGTTTGGCCTCAGCCCCTGGAGCCAACTCTTCTCTTGTGTGCTGTCTACCTTTGTGGTCTGAAGCTGGTCTCTCCCCCGAGTCTCTCTAATGGGGCAGCCGACACTGGAAAGTTGTGGCTCTACTCTAAATTCTCTGCAGCCACCCATGGTGACTGATGTCTATGAAACTGTCCCATCCCATTTTAGGGCATCCAGTTTTCTTCCTGGAGTATCCGGTGCTTCCTTTTTCTTGTGGTTGCTAAGGCTGGCCCCACTCAGTGTTTTACTAGTGTTGCCCAGACAGACAGGTTCGTCCAAGTACTCCCTCAATTACCTGACTAGTGACCTTCCCAGCCTAGATCATCCGCAGGCCAGTGATTGATGTGGGAGGGAAGCAACTGCTGCCATCTGGCCCCTGTGCTTGAGGCTCCCTCCTGTGTGCCTACCCCGCCATGCAGTTCAGAACTAGGGTGACAGCCTCAAAGGAGTCGGCGCTGGCTCCCTTGCTCTTCCTGTATGACAGTCACCACATTGAAGCAAAGCAGGGCCTAGGTTTCCCAGGATGGAGTAAAGGCTGTTTCCTGTGTTCTCAGGTGAAGGTGGGAGATACTTTGGATCTCCTCACTGGAGAGAACAAAGAGGCAGGAACAGAGACGGTGATGCGGATTCTCCTGAAATCCGTCTACGAAGAGAAGACTGAGAACGACAAGTACCGGGTGGTGGTGCGCCGGTGGAAGAGCTTAAAGCTGCCTAAGAAGACTGCGTCTAAATAAACATCCTTCTCCCAGGGCGTTTTTACTAAAATAAAGTTCTCCTGTCGTTTGTGGGGTCACTGGAGCACTCGATCTGTGGGTTTCCCTCTGGGGCTGGCCTGTGCTCCCTTAGATCTGGCATTCCGAGAGCCCCCTTGTGTACAGAGACCGATTCTGGAGGAGGCCAGGCCAGAGAGAACATTATAGTCTGCCTGACATTTCCCACATCAACTGCCTCAGGAGTCACGGTAAAATAAATTGGCCTTGTTTCTTTGTGGGTTTTGTTTTGTTTTTTGTTAGACAGTGTGTCTTAGGGTTCTATTGCTGTGAAGAGACACCATGACCACCACAACTCTTATAAAGGAAAGCATTTCATTGGGGCTGGCTTACAATTTCAGAAGTTTAGTCTATTATAGTCATGGCAAGAAGCATGGTGGCACATAGGCAGACATGGTGCTGCAGAAGCCGAGAGTTCTGCATCTTGATCCGAAGGCAGCAGACAGAGACTTCGTGAGCTACACTGGTATAACCTGAGCACGTGAGATCTCAAGTCTGCACCCCACGGCGACACACTTCCTCCAACAAGGACACACCTAATAGTGCCACTCCTTACGGCCATGCATTCAAACATAGGAGTCTGTCTATGATGACTATACCTATTCAAACCGACACACAAGATCTCACTGTGTGACCCTGACTAGCCTCAAAATCACCAGCATTTACCTGCCTCTGCCTCCTGACTACTAGGATTAAAGACAAGCACCATCACACCTGTTTTATTTTTTGAGATGGAGTCTCAGATAGCTCAGGCTGGCCTTTGGTTGCTGCTCCTTCTACCTGTAACTCTCAAGAGTGAGGATTATAGAATAGACATGTAACACCATACCTGGCTCCTTAGTGTTCATTTAAATAGTTTCCCAGTATAGGGACTACGTTTCAGGCATCCTGTGGCCAAAGCTGGCAGTCATGATTGCCCTTCAGGTCATGACAAGATAAAGTCTAGGAGAACCTTTTACCAGTTGTCTCAGTGAACACCAGTGTTGGTTCTCTTTGGTTTGTCTTCTGTAGTCCAGAAGGAATAAAATTGGCCCCCTAATTCCAGCTGGGCTACTTAGAATCCATTTTAAATGCTTTCTTTTAGGGCTGCTAGATAAACCAATAGTGCCAGAAGCTGGCTTAATGGCCTTCAAGCTAAGAATGGCTTTAACATTTTATGTTCAGAGCTCTGGCTGCTCATTTTGAAGGAATCAGATTAATTCCCAGCACCCGCATGGTGGCTCGCCACTGTAACTCTAGCCATACCTAGAGGATTTGATGTGCTCTTCCAGCCTTTTTGGATGCTAGACATACATGTATGTGGTTCACAGACATACATGGAAATAAAACACCCATATATGTAAAAGCAATTTCTTCAATGTTCTTTTATATCTGCATTGTGTTTGTACACATATGAGTATCTCTGTATACACAGGTAAGACCGTTTGACCCATAAAGCATACACTCATTAGTATCTGACCCTTTACTGAAAATGTTTTAACTCCTGGCTCAAGAGAATTAACAATTTGGTTTGAGGCAGCAATAGGAAGTACACAGAGTCTTTTTAAAAAAGATTTACTTATATCTTCAGACACACGAGAAGAGGGCATCAGATCCCATCACAGGTGGTTGTGAGCCACCATGTGGTTGCTGGGAATTGAACTCAAGACCTCTGGAAGAGCAGCCAGTGCTCTTGACCACTGAGCCATCTCTCCAGCCCAAAACACAGGGTCTTATCAGGATAGATAGACTAGTGTTCTGACCCTCACAAGAGTGTTACACGAAGAACGAAATGGAGAGATCTGAGCACACGTGCACACTCCACAGTATACGTGGTGTGTACACTCAGGTCTGTCTGGGACTTCCCAGGAGCCAAGCCTTAGCACCCGGAAGGAGCAGTTCCCAGAGGAGACACAAGGCCCTGTCCTCCTGGGAGACAGGCTGTCCTGGGTGGGCTCTTGTTTGCCCTCCATAATTTCCTGAGATCTGAGTCTGGAAGGAAGCTTCTAGACCCCAAAGCAGTTAAGCTGGGGCCCAGGAGTCAGAAGCTTTTCACCACTTTGGTTTGGAGAACCCAGGAAAATTTATCTTTGTTTAAAAACTTTGACTCAAGAGAACCAGAGAGATGCCTCAATGGGTAAAGAAAGACTTTTGCCAGCCAAAGTGCTAAAACACCAGGCAGTGGTGGTGCACGCCTTTAATCCCAGCACTTGGGAGGCAGAGGCAGACAGATTTCTGAGTTCGAGACCAGCCTGGTCTACAGAGTGAGTTCAAGGCCAGCCTGGTCTACACAGTGAGTTCCAGACCAGCCAAGGACTATCTAAAAAAGACCTAGTCTCAAAAAAAATTTTTTTTGTTTGTTTTAAATTAAAGCATTTGAAAACCTTAAACTCTCAAGAAGAAATAATGAATACTGTGTCAAGGTCAACATGGGGTTTCTGCCTTAGTCACTTTGTTATTTGGCTTTTTGAGTCATCAGTAAAAATATAGTATGTTTACTTTCTATGTGAGGTAGTGACAAATCACAATTTAGTTACGTGTCCATACTTCCCCTTCCCCCTCCCTCTCTCTCAGCTTCTCTTTGCACTTGAGAAGCCTTGAATGGTGAGAGCAGGGAATTCAACAGTATGCCGAGCTATTGATTGTTTAACCCACTCTGTCAGCAGGTGAGCTGTGACCATAACTTTAGCTTGTGTCTCTCTGCATCTCACAGTCCTTACGGGACAAATGAGCATCAGGACAAAGTCAAAGCAGGAAAAGCCTTTAGCTGTTTTTTAGGGCTTCATTCAATCAGTATGTAACTGCGGCTGGCCTTCAATACAGCGCTTTATGCCTTGGCTGTCCAAGTGCTGGGATTACAGATGTGCACCCCCTAGGCTGGAACTTGTACTTCACTATAGATTTTAAAAATCAAACTGAGAGTTGGGACTAGTGGTGTACACCTTTAATCCCAGCACTCAGGAGGCAGAGGCAGGTGGATCTCTGTGAGTCCGAGGCCAGGCTGGTCTAAATAGTGAGTTCCAGGACAGCTACTGAGACCCTGTCTTGAAATAAAAGGAAAATTAACCTAAGGGCCAGAGAGATGGCTCAGTAGTTAAGAACTCATAGTACTCTCGAAGGACCTGAGTTCAGTTCTCAGCAGCCTTATCAGGTGGTTCAAAATCACCTGTAACTCCAACTCCAGGGGACTCCAGGGGATCCAATGTCTCTCTGGTACCCAAACTCCCCATACTCACTGACATATAATTATATATATATATATATATATATATATTTTTTTTTTTTGCAAACAATGAAGACATCTGATCACGGATGATGCTGCTCTGGTCATAGTGTGTGGCAAAAGACTGATCTCCCAAGAGTTACCAACAGTGCAAGGGATTGGAACATATTTATGAAAACTAGCAGAAACTTAAGAGCCACTTGTGATGATTCATGGCACTGTTGCAACTCACTCATTACTGAGGCTGAACAACAGCTGCCTCTTAATGTGGTCCTGGTGAAGCCACCTCAGTCCAACTGTGAGCACCTCTGGACATCTTACCACAGAGGCTCTCAATTGGGGCCGTGTGCCCACTCTCCCTGGGGCATTTAGCAATACCTGGTATTTTTAGTTGTCATGATGGATAGGATGCTAGGGACCCCCAAGAAAGGAGAGCCTGAAGATGATGCTAAACATCCCATAATGCTCAAGCAGACCAACCTTACAGCAAAGGACTGTCAAAAGAACACCATGTCAGTAGTGCGGAGGTTGGGAAATCCTGGTCTACGTTTCTATAGAATGACAAAGGGAAAAATATTTATATATATTGTTGGCTGCAGATGTTGGTGCACGCCTGTAATCCCAGGTCTTGATTGGTAGAAGCCGGAGGATCAAGAGTTTGGGGCTATCAGGGGTGACATGGCAAAAGAAACAACAACAGTATCAACAACAACAACCAACTTAAATAGTTAAAGTAACAATACCAACCAACCTATATAGTTAAATAAATCCATTCTGCTTTGCCAGGACAGCATCTGGTATAAAAGGAAAAATTGTGTCAATCCTTCTTAATGAGGTCTCCAAGAAACAAGATGTCAACTGAAATTCTTGCCATCTGTGCTCTATATAGACAAGGAAGCAATTGTTCATTTGTTTTGTTTTTAAATTATTTTCATGCCGGGCGGTGGTGGCTCACGCCTTTAATCCCAGCACTTGGGAGGCAGAGGCAGGCGGATTTCTGAGTTCGAGGCCAGCCTGGTCTACAGAGTGAGTTCCAGGACAGCCAGGACTACACAGAGAAACCCTGTCTCCTGTCTCAAAAAAACAAAACAAAAAACAAAAAAAAATTTTTTCATTTTATTCAATTTCTGTAGTTTTGTTTCATGTGCATTGGTGTTTGGTCTATATGCCTTGTGAGGATGTAGGATCCTCTGAATAGTTATGAGCTGTTGAATGTGCTAGGGAATTGAACCTGTGTCCTCTAGAGGAACAGCCACTGCTCTAACCCGCAGAGCCATCTCTCTAGCCCCCATGAGTGTTCACTATAAAGTCCTGAGCTCTAAATGGACTGGAGCTTGTATGGAGACCAAGCTGGCCTTGAACTCACAAAGACCCATTTACCGGACTGCCAACACTGGGATTAGACATGTGCGTCATCATGCTTGGATACTTATTTTTCAAGAAACTAAAAAACATTTCAGTTCAGTGGATGTTCATAAACCTACCTAAAAGGCTCACAATGTGTACTGAGCAAGGAAAAGGACCTCTGCCTTACCTTGGCTCTGTGAAGGTCCGCTTTACAGTCGGAGAATTCCCAGCTGCATGGTCTCCAGGGAGCAGCGACCGAACATTGCGTTCCCAGGACTCAGCTCCCGAACTGCTTTTCGAGTCCCACACCGGGCTCGCTAGTTCCAACCAGAGCAGCTTTTGGAAATCAGCAAACGCTGCAGCTCAGGGTTCGTTATTCCCCCTCAGAGCAACAACTGTTAAACATTTACCAATGCTCATGAGAGGTTTTCCTTACGAAGCACCTTGGCCCACTGTCCCCTCTCGGTTCTTCTGAGGTCTTCCCCGCCCACTCCCTCCCCCCGCCCCGCCCCACTTCGATACACGTTTGCAGGTCGTCCTCTCCTTCTCGGGCAATCATTTCACTGTTTAATGATATCATTTTGCCTGTATGCATTTTTGTGAAATGTGTTTCACTGTTTTGCTTAAAGGAATTTTCAGGAGCTTTATTATGTATCTCATTGCGTGCTCTT